AAAAATTTCATTTTTTATATTTTTTCTTAAAAAATGTGGGCTAACCCCTATGAAAAAGCTGAATTTTCCGTTAAATACTATATATACTATTTACCATCTTTCATGTTGTTTAAAAAATACCTAAACGCACTCCAAATTTTATATATGTTTGCTAAACATATCTTGATGGTACATGGGCATCATGTCTAATTTTCCAATGATTAATTTATTTAACATTCATATATCAATTAATATGTCGATTAACCCCTATAAAAATCCTATTTTCTAGAGAAATAGAAATATTTAAGGTCTCAAACCTATTTAATATTCATACTATGTTGGTGTATGATGAAGCTTTGCATTAAAACAAAAATTACATTTTTTATAATTTTCCTTGAAATATGTGGGCTAACCACTAAGAAAAAAACTGAATTTTCTGTTAAATACTATATATACTATTTACCATCTTTCTTGTTGTTTAAAAAATACCTAAACGCACTCCAAAATTTTATATATGTTTGCTTATCTTATCCTTATGATACATGTGAATCATTTCTAAAATATTCGATCCTCTCAAATTCGTAAAATAGCTGAAGTCATTTCTAGACTAGTCCGGTCGGGGTATCAAATTTGGCTGCCGACCCAATCCAACACAGTTAGGACAAATATCATTTCGTAAATCGTTATGTCATTAAAACTGAATCAGCTCCAATGCTTATACACCAACTGATCCACACTTGCCTATAAAACTACTTTAGAATCAAACATAAAAACTGACCCCAATTGGATCTGGAGTTTCAAAAACATATTATTACCCACAAAATAACATTTACCAAATTAACAGTTTGGAAAAAAAAATGCTAGAGTAACAAGAAAGTAGTGTGATATTGTATCAGGAAATGGCTTAAAGAGAATTATACCAACCAAATTAACGGTTTTTTATTACTAACAATCTTTCTGGTGTAAAAATGTAAAACTCTCAGAGGACGATGAATGCTCCTTTGTGTTTTCTCCTAATTACCTGTTTTTCCTGATATTATTATTCCGATGACACCTAGAAATAGAAAGCATACGGGCTGCTGCTGCTGCTTGCTTGTGTGGGGGAGAAAAAAATCAATAGACGCGAGCTTTAGGAGGGAAAGTCTCAATCTCATCGTCGAGAGTGTCCATGTGAACAGGCCTATACTCCAACCTCACTTTCTCCTCTTCCCAGTACCCCAATGTATGCTTCATCCATTCTCCATCCTCTCTTTTCTGCACCCACACACACACACATTCATTATATATTTGAGAGCTGAGTGGTTATATCATCCATCATCTTCTTCATATATATATAAACGAGGAAGGGAATCAAACCGTGAAATCTTCCCGAGCATGTGCTCCTCTGCTCTCCTTTCGTGCCTCTGCTGAATGCATTGTTATGGACGCGTTTATCAAAAGGTTCTCTAGTTCTATTGTCTCTATCAAATCAGAGTTCCTGCACTCACCACATATTGTCACAATAGTTTCACCATATCATAATTAATAATTATGATAAAGTATTGTCTTGTTTTTTTTTACCATATCAAACTCCGATCTTTAACTTGGACATCCTCGAAACTTTCCCACGCCTTGTCGATCAACTGACAACCTGCAATTATTTCAGAATTGGGGGATTTTCCAGGTGAGATAGAGCTTTGAGATGCAATATAATAAGTTAAGAAAAAGTTATTCTTCTACTTTACCTTCTTCCAATGTTTCTTGGGTGCGGAAGACAGCTGCATTGTTCTGCATAATCCTCTGCATGTTCAGCCTGATACTTGATGTAGGAAGCGACCCGCTTGAGTGTCTTAACTTGTTCAGCCATTCGATCGTCTTCTTACCTGCATTCTCCTCAAGAGGTCTTTGTTTCTCACCTGCACCATACGAAATAAGGCAATTTAAAAAAAAAAAAACAGAAGAGACGATTCCTTTGTTTTTATATAATAATGATACTAGTCTCGAGAGATCCTCAAAAGAGACTAACCAGGTTTGCTTATCTCTGCAACCCTATTTGCACAAGCACGGCCAAACACAACAATGTCGAGGAGAGAATTTGCACCAAGCCTGTTGGCACCATGAACAGATGCACAAGCTGCCTCCCCAGCAGCCATAAGCCCAGGAACCACTGCATCTGGATCATCTCCTTTAATGGTAACTACCTGCAGGACAAGCAAAAAAAAAAGATTACTTTGATTGCTATGCTTTTGAGGCATCTCATGATTAACAAATTTCAGCAGAACTTCTTCAAAGACTTCTCCTATTCTTACCTCGCCGTGGTAATTTGTTGGGATACCACCCATGTTGTAGTGAACAGTGGGCAAAACTGGAATTGGCTCTTTGGTAACATCAACACCAGCAAAGATTGCAGCTGTCTCAGAGATTCCAGGAAGCCTTTCTTTTAGAACTTCTGGTGGAAGATGATTCAAATGGAGATAGATATGATCCTTATGCGGTCCTGCCAATATTAGCAACAGATCCAAAATGAGTATTAAAAACTAAACATACCAAAAATATTAAACATGGATACAGCTTAAAGAGATGCAATGGGGGTTTCTCCAGAAAAATAAACTAGTTTAAAGGGAAGCATACCTACTCCACGACCTTCCCTGATTTCCATAGTCATAGATCTGGAGACAACATCTCTTGATGCAAGATCCTTGGCAGTTGGAGCATATCGCTCCATAAAACGTTCACCTTCACTATTTCTAAGGATACCACCTTCACCTCGAGATCCTGCAATTGTATAATAGACGAACACCAAAATGCAAAAGTCGCGTCACATTAAATATTTTATCTTGCAAGCAGATTCGTGCATATGAGGAGAAGACGCTAACCTTCAGTGATGAGACATCCGGCTCCATATATACCAGTTGGGTGGAACTGAACAAACTCCAAGTCCTGCATAAAGTTATTAGAAAGAATATTATTAGCGCACAAAAGACATTGTTCGCCATTAATCTCAAAACGAAAGAGGTGGCAAACCTGGAGTGGAAGACCAGCACGTGCAACCATGGCATTACCATCTCCTGTGCAGGTATGTGCTGAGGTTGCAGAGAAGTATGCTCTGCCATAACCCTGGAGAAACATGAACCATCATGATAAGTATATTTGCACTAGTCGAAAATATAAAAAGCTACTCAAAACTAGCTCACCCCAGTGGCCAAAATAGTTTGTGCAGAACGGAAACGATGCAGTGTTCCATCTTCCATGTTTAATGCAATTACACCCTGGCAAGTACCTGCACATCAGATTACAAAACAAAGTCGCGTGAATACTAACAGAAGCGACAGCGAAAGGAAAAATAACTCCCATACACATACCATCACTAGCCATGAGCAAATCGAGAGCGAAGTATTCAACAAAGAACTGTGTGTTATGCTTCATAGCTTGTCCATAAAGGGTATGCAACAGAGCATGCCCTGTCCGATCAGCAGCACAAGCACAACGGTAGGCCTGACCACCTAATGATAGAATAAAAAGAAAGCCAATATGAGAAAATCCTTTTTAAGCAAAGAATAAGTTAAAGCTCCCAAAACAAGGGGGAGCAAAAGCTATCAAGGAGTAAGACAAAGTCTACCTTTGCCAAAGTCGAGACTCTGACCACCAAAGGCACGTTGGTAGATTTTACCCTCTTCAGTACGAGAAAAGGGGAGGCCATAGTTCTCAAGCTCAATCACAGCTTTTGGTGCCTCTCTACACATATACTGGATAGCATCTTGATCACCTACACAAAGAACAAAAGAAAAGAAACTCAAGATCAACTAAAGCAAGATAATAGCCAAAACTAGCAAGATCAATCAACTAATACAAAAGAAATACCAAGCCAGTCACTGCCTTTGACAGTATCATACATGTGCCATCTCCAGTCATCTTCAGACATATTTCCAAGTGCAGCATTTATACCACCCTGAGCAGATTCCATATGACATAAAACTCAAATCTCAAGAAACCAAATTATAATCGAGTGGTAGACCAAAATTAACCTGAGCAGCGACGGTATGGGAGCGTGTGGGGAAAAGCTTGGTGATGCAAGCCGTGTTAAAGCCATGCTCAGATAATCCAATGGCCGCTCTAAGCCCCGCACCACCAGCTCCAACCACCACCGCGTCATAGGTGTGATCCACTATCGTGTAATCGCCTGTCTGCTTCATGATCAAACATGGATACATAAATAAGCACAAATCAATTTACGAAACGGGACCAATCAACATCGAAAACTATGATTCCTTACGATCGAAACGGAAAACTAAAGGAGAAGGAAGGAGAGATCTTACAGAAGAGGAGGAGGAGAAGAATCTAGGAAAGTGAGATCCAGAGAGTGATGCCTTTGATGAAGGAACACGAAGGCTACGAGAGACGCAACGCCACATCTTCTTCTTCTTCTTCCTATTGAATCCACAAGTCCTATGCAAATCCGTAGAAATGAAACTCGTGAGAGAGCGAACGGAGTGAGAGCAGACACCGAGGTGTGCTTCAATGAGAAAACAATGGTACACAATGACTCCTTCAAAATTCCTTTACTACCCTTACTCTCCCACCATAATTACGTTACCACCCGTTTGCTTTGGGAACATACAAAAGGATAATCGTGTTAGTTTTAATCATCCTTGTGTATAACAGTACTAGGACATCAATTCCGATGTCGTCCAGCGGTTAGGATATCTGGCTTTCACCCAGGAGACCCGGGTTCGATTCCCGGCATCGGAGCTTTTTTTGCATTTTTTGGAACTCTTGATTTACATACACATCGATGTACCATCAAGATTACAAGTTCTAACCTTCTCTAAAAGCTTACGACTGCCAAAATAAAAAATAAAATATCCGCAAAATGCAAAAGCAGAGAGAGCCAATTGTTTTTTTATCACATGAGAGCTCTAATAAAACACCACTCACTCTCACATGTTTCCAACATTTTTTAACTGTTTTCTGAACTTACAAAAGAGATCCTCTAATGATCAAACCCTTTTTCAGGCAACAAAAGTAATCGCAGTGGAGTTTTTCTAACTGTTAAGGGAAGACAGCATCCCTCCAGCCGAACTAAGCAGGACTACTTCCCAACCTGGACCCTTCAATGGAAAAGCTTCACCAGCTTCTGCTTTTGTCTCTCCTGGTGGAGTAATCATCAGGTCACTCCTGTCAAACAACCGATCAAGATCCTCCTCGCTTATATCCGTTTGTATCATTTTATCTTCAACAGTTTCATCGTCCTTAAGCAACGCCAGTATATCATCTTCCTGTACATGTTTGTTTAGTTCAAGTTTTTACTAACTTATGATACTTTTGTTAAGGGGTATAAAAATAAAAGAGGATTTAGTTTTGAGAGATACTAAACCTCTAGTGGTGTTGAAGACTTGGCACGTTCTTGATGAAACTGCCCCTTTCCAATAACCACGTGTTCCAGCTTAAGCTTACTGTATGCTCGTTTTAGAACCCGGCCCTGCGCAAAATGTCATAAACTAGTGTCAGGAGGTAACAATCTCATCATTGACCTAGAGAGAGAAGAAGTTGATTTATGAAACAGTATAGAGTTTTACCTCTATTGACTGAGCCGTCGCAAGCCTGTAAACATGAACAGGTTTTGTCTGACCAATTCTGTGGCATCTGTCCATGGCTTGCAAGTCCATTTGAGGGTTCTGGAGGATGATGAGGTAACCACAGAGTTAGACAGAAACAAGACCAGAGAAAAATTTAAGAAATTTGACTAAATTTTTATTACATAATCGCTGTCGTAGAGGATGCATGTATCAGCAGCAGTAAGATTAATTCCGAGTCCTCCAGCTCTTGTACTGAGAAGAAATATTCTACAGTTGCTCTTCTCATCATTAAATTCGTCAATCTATTTCATAAGATTGAGAGAGACCTTGTGGTTATGATATTGTAAGAATATTGTTTACTTGCAAAATCAGCATAAGCAAAGGACAAAACCTGTCGTCTCCTTTCCTCCAGTTTCACATTGTCGTCGATTCTGCAAACCTCAAACCCCTTCTCACTGAAGTAGTAATCCATAATGTCCAAAAATTTTGTCCATTGGGTGAATACTAGGACCTGCTCAACAGGAAGAAATAAAAATCAGAGAAGGTCTCATAGCTACGAGCCAAGGGCTTCTGAAACATACTCTGTGACTTTTGGCAAATAACCGAACAAGCAATCTCTCCAGTAAGCGAAATTTACCGCACTGTCCAACAATATCTTCAATAGGAGGGTAGAAATCTGTCGAGAACAAAAAAAACAACCAAGACAGATCAGCAAAATAGGAAAAAAAACATTCGTTTGTGAGAAGGCCCAATGACATACATGAACCATCTATTTGCCCCGCAAGAAGGTCAGGATGGTTGCAGTTCTTCCGAAGTTGAATAACCAGATTGTTAAGCTTTCCTTTCCAGCCTAGACCTGAAAGTATATGGGATGAACACAGCAATGCAGAAGAGGCAAACTATTAAATATAAACACACAGAGAGAAACAAGTACCTGGGAGAGCATTCTCTCCAAGGTGTGCCTCCAACGTGCAATTCACAAGATGATCCTGGAACTTTTTCTGATGATCTGTCATTGTAGCATAAACAATGATCTCCTTTTTCCGCGGAAGTAGGAGCTCAACATCACATTTCATTCTTCGGAGGATGAAAGGTCGTAGTATGTTATGAAGTTTCGCAACAACCTAAACAAAGAATTACTCTTATGATATATACAATCAAAGAAATCAACTAAAATTAATCATAATCGTTCATACTTGAGCTTTTCTTTTCTCTTCTCCTTCTTTCTTACTTGCTTCGCTTTTGTTCTTTTCAGAAAAATCAAACCTGTAAAGTACTCAGATTATCAGTTGAATACTCAAGGAATAAATGTCAGAAAAATGGTAGCAGTTTGCTATATACAGAAAAACCAAAAGACAACATGTTAATTACGGAAAACAGTAGAAAAAAGCCAAGTTTGTACCAGGATTCAAATTCGGCATGTGATGCAAAGATGTCAGGCAGAATAAAATTCAACAGTGACCAAAGCTCAGACAAATTATTTTGCAGAGGTGTTCCTATTAGCAGAAGTTTGTTCTCCATCTTCATGTATCTTAGTTCCCTCAGCAATTTGCATAGGTGGTTTTTCAACCTGTGGCCCTATAAGATGCACGAACAAAATAACAAGTTAGAACTTAGAAGGACCATCTTAATGATAGTAACAAATGTGCCTAGGACACTAGTCAATCTGGAAAATTACCTCATCAATCACAACATATTTCCATGGATAGTGCCGCAGACTTTTTCTAGCATCATTCATAGCAACCTCATAAGAAGTGATGACTATAGGGAACCTAGGACCAATAGTTTTGGGCATGTGCTTTCTTCTGAGTTCATCCCTTTTTTCTGATCTCCATGGTAGATGATTGCATTGATGGAAGGCGTGAACCTATTCAAGAGGAAGGAAAAAATGAAATCGTTCTCAAAGCTTGAACACTAAATAAACATGTATGGTAAAGAGTACCGTACCTAGCGATCTCATTCATCCAATTTGAAAGAGTAGAAAGTGGAGCAATGACTAGATACAGACCATCCAACCCATTTCCTTTCAGGTGTGATAAGAAACCAATGGTTTGAATAGTCTTTCCAAGTCCCATTTGATCAGCTAAAATTCCATTCAAACCATTTTGCCACAATGATATTAGCCATTTGACACCTTTGAGCTGATAAGACTTTAACTTTCCACCAGTCAGAAGAGGAACAAGTTCACTCTGCTCTTTCATATTCTTTCTTCCTCTGTCAAATCAGAGTTGGCAGATTCATGACCTTCTTTAGATCTTGAAATCATAGCAGCAACAGCTTTCTTAGCCTTCATCTGAATAAAATAACAAAGCATCCAACATCAAAGTAAGTTGAACCATATATTATCCATCATGAGAGTTGATGAAGCTCATATATTGAACTAACACTGGCGGCCTGAGAAGCAGCCTTTCTTTTGCGTCCACGACCTCCTTTCTTCTCGGGCTCCACTTTTTGAGTCTCACTTTCAATCCCATTCTAGCAAAGCACAAGAACTCAATTAAGATAAAAAAACACATTCACTAACCAACATGAAAATGCAACAACAACAAAAAAAAAAAAAAAAAAAAAAGAGAATTACTTTG